CAAGATCTTTTTCACTCTCTGTGGGGTGTTTTTCCTTTTGTCTATGTGCTTCCCTTCTGCTTGTTCACCACCTTTCTTTGTTGTTGCTACACACCTTGCCCAACATGTTACATTTTTTCTCCACACCCCTTCCTCTCTCCCTCACTTCACTGATTTCTCCCTCTTTCTTTCTTTCTGCCATTCTTTTTTTTTTCTTTTTTCCAAGCACTGCACCTGCCCAGTGGCATTTTACCTCTTACACCATCCAAGCTGTGTCTGTGTGTGTGTGTGTGTGTGTGTGTGTGTGTGTGTGCTGCCATTCTGCATTGCAGCTCAGCTCTGACTCAGGGTACCATCAGATACCACTCACAGAATGCGTCATGCAGGAAGCAAAAGGTGCTTGTTTTTTTTAAAAAGTGTGTGTGTGTGTGTGTGTGTGTGTGTGTGTGAGCGGGTTTCAGTCTTCATGTTTAGGGAAAACTAAACCTGTGTATTTGGATGTGGGTGGATGTGCTCGGGCAAATCTTTTGTGTTTAGCAGAAGGGCATTTGTATGGGCCTGTATGTGTGTGTGTGTAATAGATTTTTTTTTTAGTTTAGGCTTTGCTGAAGAAGCCTCAGGAACTACCACCATGTTTACAGTTGGTGCTCTATAAATGGTGCGAGTGCATGTGCTCGCCAGTCTGAAGCAGACAGGAGGGTGAAATATGTGTGTGTGTGTGTGTGTGTGTGTGTGTGTTGAGTGAAGCTGAGTGCCTGCCTCTCCAGTATAAGTATTGCCTGATAACCCTGAGTGACCTGGGTAATGAGAAGTGGAACAGTGGCTTCCCAGCAGGCCTCTGGGCCCGCCTCAGCTAAAGCTCCTCTGCCGTTCAGTTTGCATTCTCAAGTTCCCCTCCAGTGTGCGCCGGCAGCCAAACACGCCAACAGATAAAAGCTCACATCTCAATTTATAGCAGGTGTAAGGCTGTTTGCTCACAGTGCTAAGAGGTAGATGTAGCCTGCTAGCCTGCATGGTGGATGAGGATGGTGTCAACAAAGGAGACACAAAAAAGAACCGTCTTCTCCAACTAAAGCTGTTATAATAATTTACTGTATTGTTGTCTGGTTACACAGTGGTTACTTTGAGAATACAGCACTGAAACTGAAACTCGCAAAAGTTTTTTTTTTACTTACTTTTGGTGGTTTTGGACTCTTAAAGAAAAAAAACCCCAAAAACCTTCACATAATGGGAGTTGTTTTCTAGACAACATAAAACATGGCTAAAACCAGATGGCATGGAAGAATATTTATAACTTTCCTGATTTAAAACAATGTTCCACATAGGTGGTGAAACTATGCTCGTTCTATTTCCTTTTTATAATATTTTTAGCAGTTCACTAACGTTTTTTTTTCCCGCCTAGCTACTTCTACTGTTTGTTGAAAACACAACCTATACCGCTAGTTACTGAAAACAAGACTCATTAGCATTTTCTTTTAGAGTTTTGTTTTGTTACATTTACAAAAGTTCCATATAAATTAACTTCGTAGTTAAATAGAAACATGTTAGTATGCTAAAACAATTTGATATTGGCATTGTTAGCACACCAATTTTAACATTTAAGTCGAAGCACCACTGAGGAAGCCTCAGAGGGCTGTTAGCATTAGCTGCTAACTTGTAGTTTTGCCAAGTTTTGTTTGGTAAATGGTCTGTAGAGCCCAACGTATCTCTTTTACATGGCGACCAGATGATATGATACTCGCAAGATTTATTCAGGTTGCTTACTTCTACGACTTGCCTACATGCCTTCTATAAGGACAGCAAGAAAGACTTGTTTTTTGTCTAAAAAGCTCTTGCAGAGTTAATTTGCTCTTAATTGATTCTACATTTTACTTGTTAGCACTACTTAGCTTTTAAAAGCAGGCGTAGTCTGAGAAAATAACAAGTTACCAAGGTTGTCTAAGCATGCAGAGATGGAGGTTCTAACAAAGACACTATTAAGTTGCATTATGAGTAAGTATAGGATCGTATTTTTTTTGAGTTTAACCCACACTAGGCATTGAAAGTGACAGCTTGTAACTCCTTTCCTTTAACCTTCTGAAAACCCAAGCAGTTTCTGGGTGTTTTTTGGCACATTTCTCCTCACCGTGGGCTCATTTTGCACATCTATTGAAGCAGCACAACCATGGCGAGAAATCGAGAGAACCCAAAAATGTCATTGTAAAGCCAAAAATCATTAAAGAAAAAAAAAAAAAGTGTTGAATTCCTATCAAATGCTGAAAAAAACCTGGAATCCGAGTGTGCAATATTTTTCCATGTGTCCACGGGTGTTACTAATACTGGAATGAAACAGTGGGTCTACATACTTGAGATATTTTACTTACTACATTTTTGATTTGTTTCCATGCTTTTCATCTATAATCTGTATAAATTCATGCTGTGGTTCAGCCGAATGTTTCCTGAATGTTTGCCATGTGACTGTTTGCTTGCAGCTGAGTCATTAAGAACTTTATAGTGTTGCTGAGGAGCTGCATCATTTCTTTATAGAAGAAAATATTTTTTTTTTAAAAAACTCAATTTTGAGTGTAGATTTCCCAAAACAGAACTGCACACCACACAAGGTTAGTTCAGTGATTGTCAGAAAGTTGAAAATCTCAGTTTCTAGCTCTGATTCAAGGTGAAATTAGTCATTTATTATTTTATTTATTTTTAAAGTTAAGATGCCTTCAAAACATGTTGGTGGATTTTCAGGTTAAGAGGGTTAAATCTGTCTTCAAGTGCTTCAGAATTAATTGTCACAAAGAAAGAAAAAAAACCTTGAGAACCGCTGATTTGGACGATGCGTCGCTGAGAGATAAACAACATTTTTTCCCTAATTTAACAAATGAAACTGTCACTTGTTGCTTATGTGACAGCAGCAGGATTTATTTAGTCTTTTTTTGACAGTGCGGTTATGTAACGTCGCTCATTGTCTTTGTGTGCTTTGTGATCCTGTATTGTTTACTTTTAATACTCAAACGGTTGTCTGACAGCAGAACAGAGAGAATAATTAAGCAGGTTTTAGTGCGGTGACTCCCATGTGTTCATGAGGATTTGTTGGAAACAGAAACAGCTTCTGAGTCAGAGGTAACAGAAAATGGGCTCCTTAACATTACAGGCATTTGCTTCCTCCCACATCCACATCAAAGTGTCACTTAAGATTCTGTGAGAATGCTAACAGAGAAAAAAAAAATCCAGCAAATCTCCTTTTTCCATTCGAACTTGCTATAAACACTTTCCCCTCTTCCTGTCAGTTGTGACATTTATTTTAACCTGAGATATAGTCGCAGCGGGCGCGCGTACACGACTTTTCCCCGCTGTTAGCCAAGCAGGCTAGCATGGTGCGTTAAAGTCATCGTAGGCCTCAGGAGCTAAGTTGATAACTCACATTATTTGGCCTTATCAGCGAGAGATGGCCCTGGTGCTGTGAGGGGGATGGCAGAGTCTGAGTCATTTGTTGAGTTTATGTCTCTCTGACTGCTGTGTTTCATGTTCGGAGCTCTGGAACGGCCTTTGGAAGCTGTGAGCCCACCAGCTCTCACACTGCAGCATCACTTTTCATGTAGGCAGAATTGATTTCAATTTTCACGTAAAAAATGTTTCCTCAAAACTTGCTCAGGAAAACCATTTAACAGCATTAAGGCCCCGCGACATCAAAGCCGTTCACCAGAAGCTATACGAATATCATAATAATGATAATAAGCGTACTTGTGTGGAATTTAGTCCGCCTATTGGATTAGAGTCACTGCGGGCTGCAGGTTTTCCATAGATGACAGGTGTCAAATTGTCAGTTAGGCTATAAACAAACAAACAGCACATCCTTCATACCAACGACAGGCCGACATCAAGGCAGCTAATTAGCAAACTAATTAACTGTACATACCTGAGATTTGGCACTGGCAGCTTTGTTCTGCTGATCTGCCGCGATAGTTGTCTGCCTGCTTCTTCCTCCACGGACATGCCTCAGTTCTCACTTCCAAATATAAGAGCTAGAAAAAAAAAAAGAAAATGAGCTCAGAGGGAAAATGTGCATCGCAAAGAAAAAAAGTAAATGCTTTTCTGTTGTTTCGTCTCTCATGCATACATTCGCAGATGTGAGAGTCCTGTTTGTGTTCTTCTGTTTGCAGTGAATTAATTCTGTGTGGCTGGAACACAATATTAGTCAGTAGGATCAGACTGTCTTTATGAAATACAGAGTTTAACATTTAAATATATGTATAAAGTTAACCTTTGGCCCGTTCTTAAGTGTTATGACACATCAACAGGATTCGCCGTTTGTCAGAATTGCTCAAAACAATACTTTTCCTATTTGATAAAGGTATGAGAAGATTAACTTTGCATTTGACCAGAGACAACAGATGGAAATTAAGCTCTTGGGCTAACTCATGATTCATTTTCACTTCTGTTTTCTGCTGATAAATGAACACTGTCCCTGTCAAAAGAAAACATGAATAAATGAAGTGATCTAGGTCACAATGAGTCATCTTTAAAATAGAAAAAAAACTATTTCACTTCTGCTCCTCCTGTTTTATAACGCAGAAAGGTCTCTAAACGCCAGGTCATTTCTGTGGGGGAGTTTATGAGCGAAAAGTACACAAATTAATTCTTTTCCAACAACTAAATCCTTTTTTTTTTTTTTTGACTTTGCTGGTAGTTATTTTCCCTACGTGGATCATCAACTGGCGGTTTATATTTTCCTACGTTTTTCTCCACCACCTCATAGGGTCAACAGGGGATTGCGTGAGCTGGTGTGGTAAAAATTTATTTGTGCAGTTGACTGCACAGCAGTTCCTCTGTAAATGCACCTGTTCCCTGTGAAGGAGAAAGAAGTAGGAGAAATGAGAGAGAGCTAAAGGATCCATCTGTTGCTCATTCAGCAGTGTGGACAGGTGGCTCTGAACTGGTTTATAGAGACTTTAATTAATGATTCTCTGCCTTTTTCTCTCCCCTGACTCCTTTCTTTCCTTCTTTCTGTTTTCTTGCTCCGTCTTTCCTACCTCAAGGTTCAGGGACGACAAGGGCTACGTCCTGTACCCTCAGATCGGGGACCGGCTGGACCTCATCTGCCCTCCGCTGGACACCGCCAGGTCCACGCCAGAGTACGAGTTCTACAAGCTCTACCTCGTGTCGTCGCGGGAGCAGGCGGACCGCTGCGAGGTGATGGGGCCCCCCAACATCGTGCTCACCTGTGACGAGCCCACCCGCGAGCGCCGCTTCACCATCAAGTTCCAGGAGTTCTCGCCCAACCTCTGGGGCCACGAGTTCAAGAGCATGCACGACTACTACATCATCGGTGAGTTGGGGAACCGGACCAAACTGCAGATTAGGGAATGAAGAGATTTTGTGTGTGTGTGTGTGTGTGTGTTGAGCCTTATTGCAGTGTGTGGGTAGTGATGGGGGGGTTGTTATGATTGCATGGCTGATTTCTGATTGTGCTTGAGTGTGTTTGTTTATTTCAGTGATGATGGTGCTGATTGGGCGGGTGTGTTTAGAGTAATTAGGTTGGAGAATTGTGTGTGATCCGGGGCCACAGGCGGATACACTACAGGACGTACACTGCGAAAGTGACCAGATGTAGGTTTCACGACATCTTAGGGGTATTTTTACCAAAACAAAATCTTGCAGCAGCTGCAGATTTATCTGACAAAGTTTCATTCATTTCACCTCTGTGGAATTCAACGCACTTCAGGTGACATCTCTGTTCTTTTCATTTCTTGCAGCGTCCCTGGATTTGCCACTTGTGTGGGATTTCGTGTTTACTGAAGTATGGTTACAATTGTGCCTCAGTGTCGTTTCTAAGAGTGCGTCTGTCATTGCCGTGTCTTTGTCCTGCTCGGCTGCTGTGCTGGCCTCAAGCCTGTTTATTGTTACTGCCAGCCTTGCCGAGACCGCAAAAATGGGGAAGCACACTTTGTTTTGGTTTATTTAGAAGGTTTGTTTGGAGCTAGGCTGTGCGAAGACCCGATGAGGTCATCGAGGCGAGCCGGGCCAAGCGTTTGTATCGGACGGAACAATCTGCAAGCAAAGGTCGCGACAACCGAAACCTATGGGTTGTTTTTAAATACAGTGCAAGAGCCAAGAGCATTCGGCAAACACAATTGGAGCAACGCACGCTACACACAGAGAACACGCTCACGTGCATGTATGTACACACTTCCACACGCCCACAAGTTTCCAATACAAACACAATCACTGTAAAAAAAACACCTCAGGAGTGAGAGAGTGAGCAGCAGAGACAAAAAGAGAGAGAGAGAGACCCTGTTTGATTCCCATAGCTCTCCTCCCACGCACCTGCGAGCTCTATTCACTCAGGTGTGCAAATGCTCTTTTCATTTCTTCTCGTCTGCTGGTGGAAAAAAAAAAAACCCCAACAACCTAAAAACGATAGAGCGAGTAGAGCCAGGAGGAGGAGGAGGAGGAAGCTGGGACAGAGATGGAGAGACAGAGGGAGAGTCGGAAAGAGACAAAGAGAATATAAGATCTCTCGAAGTCTGTGAAGTCCCTCGTGCCTCTTTGTGCTCTATATTTGTTTGTCGGTTTCAGGTGCGCTCGGTTTTCGCTATCAGTCCTTATGCCCGTCGTGTTTTTGAGGAGAGGTGAGGCCCTGGGCATGTTTCTCCTGCACCCTGCATCAGTATCAGCATACAAGTATTTTCGCGCAGATTAGATACGAGGAGGTGAGATAGCATGCGGTGGTGCAGCAAGCCACCGTGTCCTGTATGGATGTGTGTGTGTGTGTGTGTGTGTGTGTGTGTGTGTGTGTGTGTGCACCCGGGGATCCAATGATCCAGGAATTTGGGCCCGATAAGAAGGAAGGAAAATTAATGCAATGTGATACCGGCTGATACCTGATTCAATGACTGATAGATGTTTAGCAGCACAGCCTGAGCAGCCATCAAATATGGCTGCAAGAAACCTGCACTTACAGGATACATTAAACAGAGTCTCAGATGGTTAAATTTAACTACTGTCTTGATTTAAAATCCTTCGGTGCGCCGTTATATACTGTATCTTTTAGAGCCCTGCAGGCACCCACTACTGTACAAAAGCTCACAAAACATTTCACTTAATGTGGGTGCAGCCCCTTTTACACAGTCCACATCTTACAGCTGTTTTCTCTCCAGATGTTTTAGCGATTTTGTCCATATTCAGATTTCACTCTGGAAAGCATGATTTAACCTTAGTTTCTGCTTAGACGTCCAGAAATACAACACAACACAACAGGTTTGTATCTTGATGTATCACTTAGAGATCACATTAGTCTTATAATCACAACGAGTCCGACACAGAAATGTTTTGACTGTCGGCAGCTACTTGACAACATACCAGTTCCGCACCATCACAAGTGAGCTGTTGTTTTAAGGGCGAGTTCGACTTTGTTTTCTTTCTTTCTTGAGCAAACCGCAGGATGTTCAAAGTGCCCAGTGTTCAAATATCAGCCTGATTCAAAAGATAGCAATAACGTCTCGAACACACCTAGTCTACCGTCTATCGTGCACAAAATATCAACAAACAAGTTTTCTTTTGAAGTTTGTGTTAAACCTAAATTTTCAAGTCATGAAACAAAATTAGGGCTGAAAGATTTGCAAAAAAAAAATAAAAAATCACATTCCGGTGTTTTGCAATCGCAGTGTGAGTCCTGGTCTTAGTGGGAATGGTGGTTTTACATTTCTGTACACCTAAAAACAATATATATTAAAATGATAATATGATTTTTGCTGCGGTCCGAACCAAACAAGCATGTTCTCGTACGTCTGGAGGATATGGTTTGTAGGCTGAAGCGCCACAATGTTTCATTTACAAGACGGTATTTTGACACATTTTATCTTTATCAAAAAAATTCTGCTCCCACGATTTGGATATTGCACTTGGCCATAGCGCAATTTCAATAATATTTGGATTTATTGTTCGGCCCTAACCACAATCCCATAAGTGTAAAGCCCGTCGTTTCCCACACGCTTTATGTTACTCACCTCTCTTCTTTCCTCCCACCTGACAACCAGGTGTCCAGAGACAGAGACACTTTTATCTCCGCACACAGACCAGACTGATCGATTGACAGCTCCAGCCTAATCAATGACGGCTGCAACGCAAGGTCACACAGGCGCTCTCCAATCACACAGGTTTACTCACACGTTTGAAAGGGGGAGGAGAGGTGAGGAGACAGGGGAGTAGCTGATCGCGGAGAGCGTTCGGTGCTGATAACTTATTGATAGCATCCGCAGATCGCTTTGTGTGCAGCGAGCAACCGGCCTTTGATCGCGTGTCCTTAATGAAGAATTGCATCGAGTCTCTCACCGCAGCTTCTGTGTACTTAATGAGGCTGCGGGATAATTAATAACTGTTAATCCTACTGCTAATTTAGAGCCACATATCTGCTGTAGCTTGTGTGTGCTAACTGGCCCTACTGGGAGGATCTTGTGCATACTGAACACACTGTGGACTGCGGTTTGTCCCTGAATTCAGTTTGAATAAATGCATGTTTGTGCATGTGTGTGTAAAGGCAGCAATGTATGCAGAAGCCTGAGGGAAATCTTGTTTTAATTAACCTATAGCATAGTGTGATTTAATTTGCACACTGCAGACTGGGCACACAGGAAAAGTGTATGTATGGTAGAGCAGAGTGGCAGGCTGGTGGAACAGCAGGCGGAAACAAGGCGGTGGAGGTTAATTTCAAAGTTAAACCCATTACAGATTACCTGTTACTTGCTTAAAGCCCACTGGGCGATCAGTTCCCTTTGCAGTTTGCCGCTGGTAAACACATACTAAAAGTCAGTTTAATTTGATTTTCTCATTATGATAATCAACCAGTAGCGTGATTGATCTTTTTTTTATTTTTTTTATGAGAACTTAACATCAGAAAATCTGACAAAATGTAAAGTTGCCGCAGTCCTCTAATGCAGCACACATGCCACTGTTTTGTAATCACATTACTTGAATCCCATTAAATGTTATTCTTTACTTCCACGTCCTGGGGAGAGGAGAGAAAGAGCGGCAAAATTGATTAGTTCTACTTATTGATTGATGTTTTCATTCATAACATGAGGTCAGAGTTTATATAAACCCATTTCTCTGTCACTCTCTCTCTCTCCCCCTCTCTGGCCTTCTGTTTTGTCTACGTCGCTCTTTTCCACCCTTCGTTCCCCTTGTTTCTTTCTCCATTCCAATCCTGCCACACGCACAGAGACATGCTCAGTACATCAACCCAATCTGCAGATCAAGCTTTTCACTGCTTTTAATGAATCATTTGAAATTGGGCGTCGGGGCCTTGTGTAACACGCACACAAACACATGCACAGTCAGAGTGCAGCCTTGGCATGTCTTCTTAATGAGAATGTCAGGAGAAAGCCATCTTCTTGCAGCTTATTGGGTTAGCAGCTTGAAAGACTGGTCCAGGTTCAGTTGATTTTTAAAGGGACAGTTCATTCAAATTGTAATTCAGTGGAATCGAGGTACATTATCGTTTTGTTTGCACAGGTGTGGAAACTTTTTTTCATGTGTGTGCTGATATTTATCAGAGACAGTCAACAACACCTCCAGGACCAGTTCCCCCTGTAAATTTGAATAAACCCCTGACCTCAGTTTGAACTGTTTTCATGCAACAGTTGCTGTAAAACCTGATTGGCAATGTGTATTGTGGATTATCCAGAGCTTTCAGTAATTTTGGTGAACATGTCCTTAAGCATTGGGCTTACCAGCACTGAATTTTAAATGACATGGTGCAGCCTGTGTTATTTTTAAATATTTGTCTCCAAGTAAGAATGAGTGTGATATTAAAATATATTTACAGACCAGGATTAGGAAAGAAAATGATCAGAAATCTGTACACTTCCAATGTAAAAGTCATGTGTGTGACTAGATGCTGCTTGTATATACTCCCTAAAGTCAAAGCAGTTTCTGGTCATTTAGTGTGTTCTCAGCTTTCAATGCAGTGTAAAGTCCTCGATGGAGACCACACGATTGTGACTAGATGTAGCAACAACTGAAAAAAGTCCTTTGTGCTCTATAAAGGAAAAGGTTGTAATGCCATACATCATAAAAACACCACATTATAATAAATCACAAGACAAAAACAAAAGATTAATTGCTCAGATTTTTTTGTTGTACAAATTTAAAAAAGAAGTGAAATCAACATGTACAACATTTTTCCAAGCGCCTGCAGGTGCTCCCAATACAATGTCCGAACTGCTCTGTGTAAGCACAACCTGCAGTTCAGCTGATTAGTCAGGATTTAATGTTACGTCACGAGTGAGTCACTTTTGGTTTCTGCACCTGAGGAGCACCGAATCTCTT